TTAAAATATATATTTTAACATGGATGGGGCCATTTTATTTACATGCAAAGCATTCTGGGTAACTGATGACATCAACTAGGTCATCGACATGAGGCTGCTAGCGACTATATCCACCCTGAAGGTTAATCTTGGACAAAATCTGATGATCGACTCTTTTAAATGAAACCAGAGAGCGTTGACAGAGAGGAGAAGGTAGAAATGACTCAGCCTGTAACTGAAAACATGGATGGAGGACAACAGAGCTGCTTCATGGAAGAAGAACCTCAGCTTAGCCTGTTAGCTTTAGTGTAACAAGGTGGGAAGCACCTGGATTGTGACTTGGAGGACGTGACTCAAAGGTCAACTGGTAGATTACTAAACCATTGTTAAATAATCTAGGGATTCCCTATTACAAGTACTCGGGTAGGTCTGGCTCCAGAATGACAAAAGCAGAAATAGTTTACAAAATATATTTTATTCATTTTTCTCAGTATTAAAATTAACCAGTTCACAAGATATTACAATGGATGGATAGTTCTGGAGGAATGGAACTGCAACAGTTCTAAAGTGCTTATTCTAAATCTTAGCACCACGAGGCACTCACCTGAATCGAGAAAATCATTAAGCAACTACATGAGAGTAGTGAGGTACAATGAAAGTTTCGAATAAAATGCATACAAAGGGTGAGAGCACAATATTGCAACAGGAGCAATCTTCTGTAGACAAAATAACTATTAGTAAAGACGCCAGTCAACAATGCAAACCAACAAAGATACAAAAATAAAATGTAAAGAAAAACAGACATGTACATTAGTCACAGCAAACATGTGGATTAACAGCTCCAATACCACCCGCTACACAAAGGCACATATCCTGAAAACAAGTAAATATTTAGCGAGTGTCTAGCAAACATTTACCCCTTATAAAAACAAAACAGCAACAACGTGCAGAGAAACCACGGCCGTAATCAGACATCTAAAGGACGCCAAAAAGTTAGCTATACTGAACCCACAAACAGCCGCACATAATAATCAAAACACATTTACCTCAAAAAAACATCCTCACGAAGCCTGACCGGTTGCAAAACCTGAGGATCACGGTGCCAGCGCTCACCCAGCAAAGTTGCCGACATGCCTGTAGCTACGCATAAAGCGTCCGATCACCAGCCAACGCCCTTTGTGCATGAAAAACCCGGCGTGTGCACCAGGAGCCTAAATACTAATTAGCCAGGCAGCACCGTCACTAGAAAGAGGAAGGACGGACAAAAGGTGCATTCACGAACCCCACTCCAGTGGGAAATCACAGCGACCACCAAGATATTCCCTGCAACCAAACCACCCGGTTACATTAGCGTTAGCCCAGATGCTATCACCATATATATGTATTAGCTCAGCGCTACACATTCTCCTCTCGTCACTGAGGTCCTCCATCCACATGACAGAGAGGGGAACACAAAAACCTACAACTGAAAATATGGATGGAGGACCTCAGTTGAGCTTGTTTGTCGCGCTAGCGCCGAGCTAATACATATAAGGCAATATAGCGTGAGGGCTAGCGCGAAGGCTAACAGGCTAAGCTGAGGTTCTTCTTCCATGAAGCAGCTCTGTTGTCCTCCATCCATATTTTCAGTTCCAGGCTGAGTCATTTCTACCTTCTCCTCTCTGTCAACGCTCTCTGGTTTCATTTAAAAGAGTCGATCGTCAGATATTGTCCAAGATTAAACTTCAGGGTGGATATAGCTCGCTAGCAGCGTTGCACCGATGACCTAGTTGATGTCATCATTTACCCAGAATGCTTTGCGTGTAAATAAAATGGCTCCGTCTGTGTTAAAATATATTTAAAAAAATTTACAAAACTAAACAGCCTACAGTATTTTTCCAGCCTTTATTTTACAGTTAAAATAAATATTTATCAAATAAAGTTTAATGTTACAACTAATCGTGGATCCCTTTAAAGTAAAAGAACTCTCTAGTCCAGGGCTATTCAGCTAAACTGCTCCGGGGGGCCACAGTTGCTGCCGGTCAACAGCTGAGGGGCCGAACATAACATCCAGCAATTAAAGTTATTATATAAATAAACCAAGTATTACAAAGATATGTTACCTTTGAATTAGTTTAGTTTGCTGCATTTAATCATGATTACAACATACAGAACCCTATAAAAGTAGTGATAATTACACATTATCAAAAACAAAAAAACACATTATGCCTCCTATTAGACACAAATATTATTTTTGACATCTCTGCCTTGCCAAATTTTTAAACCAATTTTATTTTCACTTTCATCATTTTATCTTCAACTGCTTGTAGTTTTAACAGTTTTGAGTGTTTATAGAAATGGTTTTACCAGCTTCTAGCCATGGTTCTGGTGGTTTTGTAGATACCAAACATGTCTATGTTTATCTAAAAGAACTTAGAGCAATTAAAGTAGAAAACCGGGGGTTTAGGTTTAAGAGATGAATAAACCAATTGGTGGGCCAAACTTCGGTCACTCCGGCCCGCGGGCCGCCAGTTGAATAGCCCTGCTCTAGTCTTTGTTTATTGAAACAATATTATTTGAACTGCGACTCTTTCTCATCTCTCTGATAGTGATTCAAAATAATCCAAACAAAAACATCAGATTCTTCTCTACAGTCTGTCGTTAGTTATTGTAGCAAAGCTCTGTTAACATTCAAACATTCCCCTCTGACATCACTTCCTGTTACTTCACATGCAGATATATCTCAACAACTGTTCATCTCAGTAGCGTGATTGTCTTTTTGCAATATGTTATCAATGTCATCTTTCCAAAAATATTTGATGTCAGAGGCTCTTTAAGAAAGATGCAAAGGTGGATTTTCCACACACAGCTTTGATATTTTAGCTTTGTTGTGTTTAATAAAGTCATGGTACCATGCTTTTGTAACCTTATGGTTAGTTTAAAACCTTGTAACCTTTACTGTCCTGTTAACGTAAAAGCATTTTAAAGGAAAAATATTTTTTTTATTTCCCCTTTTCCATCATACTATTGAATTAAATGACAAACAATTAAAATTTTGCCTTTTTTGTGGAAGGTGTTGATTTACAATCCAACATTTTTGAAGTATGTCTATGAGTCTTGGCTTGAAAGTCATGGACGATACCCTTCAACCGGCTTCCTCAGCTTGCTGTTTGCCATCCACATATGTGATGAGGTAAGTCAAGCTGCTCCAGTAAGAAACAACCAATCACTGAACCTGAAACACAAAAACTGTTCAATATTTTATCCAAGTGAAGTTATGTTCTGCTGTAATGGTGGTAACGTGTTGGATGATAATCTCATCTTGTTCAGGTCAATGTGTTTGGATTTGGCGCAGACCAGTATGGAAACTGGCATCACTACTGGGAGGAAAACCATTTGGCCGGAGCTTTCCGACACACCGGCGTCCACGACGGAGATTATGAATACAACGTCACCTTGCTGCTAGCAGACAAGCACAAAATCCAAATGTTTAAGGGGAGATGATACCAAACGTGGACCAACCACCACATAAACATCAGCATCAACCTTTGACAGCTTTCCTCCTTTTATGATGTCCACAAACTGCTTTAGCTATTTTATTTAGACCAGTTTCCTGTTATTTGCAGAAGCTGCTGTTTCCCGTTAAAGCTTTGGCCTTAGTAGGACACTTCGGTGACGAGGCAAAAGCACCACTGCTTCATTTCACAATCTATAATCCAAAAATGTCTGTCAGCAAGCATGCTATATAAAAGTTTTAATACTAATACAAGCTTTATATGTTTAAAGTTTTTTATTTTGTTCATTTTCTCCTATATGACATTGTACCTGTGTGAATAAGCCAGCAGCTTAAAAACAAAGTGCCATATTGTGTTTTTCATGTGGAGTGTGGGATTTGCTGCAAAATTAGATATTTTTATGTTGTAAGAACTTTGTTGGAACCTTGGAACAAAAAAAAGTTATTTCAAGTATTATAAAAATGAACTTATTCACAGCTCTGCAAATGTGTCCACACTGAGAAATTAGTTGTTTCACTTTTTTTAAAATGGCTGCAGTAAAAGAAAAGATTTAACAAGACGAAAGGGAAATTGAAAGTCAACCTAAAAACTTTACCCTGCTGAACAGATTTTACTGTAGAGAATTTGTGATTTTCTTTAAAATCCTCCCTCCGGTGCAGAGCGCGCACGTCCAAACTCTCATTGACTTCCATTGTATCTGAGCTCAGAGCTCCCTGTTTAAAACCAGAAGCGAAGGGTCGTTGTTAATGTCATTTATTCTGCATGAAACATCTTATGCCTCGACAATAGACACGGTGTGGTGTGATGAACAGATACTTCTGCCACTGTTCAGAAGCTTTTTTAAATTCAGTTTAAACAGTGAATGAGTGGGAGAGTGTGTGGCTTTCACATGTAAAACAGTTTAATGTAGTCAGTATAACACCTAGCAAGATGGCTGCCACAAATCTCACCATCAGCAACTATTTCAGTCAAACTGTGCCTGGAGTCAACCTACTTCACGTACGGRGGGCAATATTATAGGCAGAAACATGGGTGTGCCATGGGATCCCCAGTTTCTCCTATTGTTGCAAACCTGTACATGGAGGAAGTGGACAAGAGAGCCTTGATGTCCTTTTCAGGGGTGCCACCGAGCCATTGGTTCAGATATGTTGACGACACCTGGGTTAAAATTAAAGCCCAGGAAGTCCAACATTTCACTGATCACATCAACTCCGTGGATGAATATATTAAGTTCACACGAGAGGATGTAAAAAATGGCAGGTTGGCGTTCCTGGATTGCGATGTCTCGGTTTCAGATGGAGGACGGTTGGAAACTGGCGTGTATCTTAAGCCCACCCACACAGACCAATATTTGCATTTTGACTCCCACCACCCACTGGAACACAAGTTAGGAGTGATCAGGACTCTGTACCACAGAGCAGACAGTGTCCCTACAAACCCAGGAGCCAGGCAGAAAGAGAAATCACACACACGACAGGCCCTGGAGCAGTGTGGTTATCCTGACTGGGCTTTCTTGAAAGCAGACAGGAAACACAGACAGGATTCCATGCAACCTTCAGGTGAAAATGAAGACCCCAAACCCAGACCCAAACCAGTGGTTATTCCGTATGTTGCGGGTGTTTCGGAGAAACTGAGATGTTTATTTTCTAAACATGATGTCCCGGTAGCTTTCAAACCCCAAAACACATTACGGAAAAAGGCTGGTTCACCCCAAAGATCCGGTTCCCCGGCACAAACAGAGCAATATTGTATATGCTGTTAAGTGCCAGGAGGACTGCGACCAGTTATACATCGGGGAAACAAAGCAGCCACTGTTCAAAAGAATGTCCCAACACAGACGAGCTACATCTAATGGCCAGAACTCTGCAGTTTTCACTCATTTACAGGCCAGCGGTCACTCTTTCAGAGATGAGGATGTTCTCATTCTTGATAGAGAGGAACGTTGGTTTGAGAGAGGAGTAAAAGAAGCCATTTTTGTGAAGAAAGACCGTCCATCATTAAACAGAGGTGGAGGCCTCCGTTTTCAGTTGTCCCCCTCCTACAGTGCAGCTATTGCCAGTATCACTCCACCCCCTGTTAACAATAGGTGTTAATTAGGTGTCAACGATAGCCATGTGATGTGAGTATCAGTCACATGGAGGCAGTGCTTAAAAGCCTGAATTTTGCCTGAAACTCTCAGACTGAAGAAGTCTCTTGGAGGAGAGACGAAACGTTTCATTAGAGAAGAACCCGTCCAGAAGACCTATACAATTTTTTTCTTTTTTGATTTTTTACCTGGATTACTGAGATGCATCAGGACACTATTTCAGTATATTTCCACATCTCTACAGAGCCCATCTTGTGCCATTGGATTAAAAAAATGCACGGCCATGAGATTATTATTGCAGTCATTTCCATGCAGAGACTGTTGGTTGTATACATGGACCAGTCTGAATCAATTTACTATACTTATTCATGTATAATACTAGAAATTTTACCCTAAAAATCACCCATAAAGTGTATGTGTGTGTGTGTGTGTGTGTGTGTGGGGGGGGGGGGGTATTATACACAGGTTATTGATGATTAGATTTTTAAAGCATTTTAAGCTAAAAAAAATGATGATCATATTATACATGAATAAATATGATAATTTCATTTTATTATTGGAATGAATGACATACTTCAGTCACTTGCAGTTAGACATGAAGTAATTCTTAACATTATAAATTGCAGCTATAATACACAAGTGAATATTGGAGTTTTTATTTTATTTTTATTTTTTATGGCTCCTCTATCACCTGTGTTTTTGCTCTGTGGAAGGAGTCGGAAATATATCACGTTCAAGAACACGGTAAAAAAAAAAGAAAAGTTTCCCAACATTAACCTACGGCGTTCAAAGTATTCTCACAAAAACTATGAAAAAAAGAATAGTTTAGATTGAACCACTCTTTGGATCAAACACACACATCATAATAATAATAATAATATAATAAGTGTGGGGTACCTCTGAAGAGTTCAGAAAAACTGCATATTCATATATAATCTGACTTCAACAATGTTTGTATCGCTCACAAAAAGATGCATCTGCTCAAAATTATCTTCTGGCCACAAGTTATTATTTTATGGTCATGTGTTATTGTCTTGTGACCATGCATTCATTTTTTTAATCCAATGTCACTGGATGGGATCCATTTATCTCAATGCACATGAACACATAACCTTTTTGCTCCAGTGCACTAAAGATTCACCATCATTCATTTTATTTGAATAATGTAGAAGATAAATTTGGTTTTGATCGTTTGGTAAGTTATGGATTAGATCAAATGTTGTGCTCACCACAGTAGACAGGATTTGTAATTAACAAATGACATCAATACAGGCGGTAAAATGGATATTGACGTATGTCTTTTTACAGCGGTGCCTTTATCAGTTAAATAAAATGACCCAGTGTGCATTTTTAATGTACACTTTAAGAGTTTGAATGAAAAATAGATGTTATGTGCCTTCGATTGGGAGCTTCTAGGATTTATTGCTGCATTAAATGAAACCGTATTATAATTGTTATAGTCGCTGAAGGACTTGCTAATGTTCACGTTAGCAGGCTGTATGTTGTGTTAGGATAATTATTTAAATAAGAAATGCAGTACAGCCATCTAAAGTGTATCTTATCATTGTGTTGACCAGGCTTGAATATATTTGCTCAAAGAAAACAAAAGAAAATCTGCACTCTTTCATTGTTATGTTAACTGAGTCATAATTTCATATGACTGGATAATTTTTATTATTTTTTTGGTTTTATTATAACGGCTCTGTAAATATACATCTGTGTTGTATCGTTTAGTTCTCACAGTGTGTAAATGGAGCACAGGTCTGATCATTTAACAATAAAATACTCTGAACAAAAACTATAACAAGTCCTTTTTTATGACCGAACATGTTTGATGACATGCTGTATTGATGTGAAAGACCTGACCAGCACACAGCTGTTTGGATTATTATCTTATCTTTTTGACTATAAAAAGATATTTGGATTTTGAAACTGTGAAGAAGCGACGGCTAAGATTTTATGTGACTCTGAAAAAATTATGATTAGCTTTTAAAAAGGTCTTTGCAGTCTGTGTTTTCTTATTTTGTAAAAATATTTCAGATCAATAAAACTTCTAAACCACTTTTCCTATTATTTTTATTTCCTTTATGGGAACATAAATAAAGTGCAATGCAAAAGTATTTAGTTATGCTTGATTTTTTTATTTTGATACCTTAAAGCCTGAACTTGAAATAGATTTTCAGTTTGATTATTAATGGACCACAACATACTCAAGATTATTGATATCAAATATAGAATAATAATTCTTTTAAATTAAAGATTGTTAAAGCAATGCATATTGTTGACCTTTTGCATGCCAAGAGTTTTTAAAATAAGATCATCTCATGTAGAGAACAGATGGAGTTTAATCTATTTTAGTCAAACCTTGAGAAGAAAGACTGTCAGATTTCCCCATAAAACTCCTCACTTTACTGCCCTCCAGTGTTCCTTAAGGTGGAAATAGGCTTAAAGGAGGATTTGCAGGAGTGGAAAGAGAGAATTATGAGGTCTTATCCTAAGGAGAACTATTTTAACTGGGAGGAATAAAAATAGAATTTCTGGGGTTGGGAAATATTTAGAAATATCCTCTTGTGTTAAACAAATGTTACATGTTTATGAAGAAAAGTTTTCATATGGGTCTTATTTGACATAACTTGTATGTCAAAGAGAAGGAATTGAAAGACATTTTGTGTCTGATTAACTGAATGTTAGATCCAGCAGAGGTCTATAAAGTCCTTGAAAAAATAACTAAGTAAAAGTAAAATTACATGAACAGAAAATGACTGATAAAAAAAAACTTTCACTGATGAGAAAACTACTCAAGTAAAAGTCGTAAATCTGCTCACAAAAATTGGGAAAGTAAAAGTATATTTACACACTCTCTAAGAAATAAACTGTTGAATTTACTGAACCAAACTGGTTCCACTAAACCAGGTTGAGTAAAATGAGCAATAAATGTATATTATTTGCTCAGTTTACTTAACTAGGTTTAGTGGAGCCAGTTGATCTGACTTTGTTGAGTAAATTCAACACTTCATTGTTTTAGAGTGCAGAAACATCTTTCATGATGAGTTCAAACATATTAATTTTGTAACGAGTGACTAGGTGTTACATTTCAATGTAAAGAAGGAAAAGTATCATTTTTAGCTTTAAAATGTAATGAATTAAAAGTAAAAGTAGCTATTTAAAAAGAT